TTTTGAAAGCTTCTTGAGTGGTCATGTCAGTTGTCTTTTGGGGGTGTGACCTGAATTTATCTAGGATGAAGCCCCCCTGTTTAAGGATGTTGGATGCTTTTTCAAGCTTTAGTTGAACTTCTTCAGGGGATTCCCCAAAGACCACCACATCATCTACATAAGTATTTTCCTCGAATTCTTGTAGTTCTTTATCGGATAAAATTCCATCCTTGTGGGCTTTCCTGTATAGGAATCTAATGCTGGCATTTAAAACAAAGGGGGCACAACTTATCCCCCAAGGTAATCTCAGAAATCTGAAAAATTTGGTTTTAAAGGAGCCGTCTTTCTGTTGTTCAGGCCACCTCATTATGAGTAGCCATTGGTCTGGCTCAGAAAGTTGTACTTGGAGGAAAGCCTTTTTTATGTCAGCAATCCCAAAGTATTTGGAGGTTCTGATACGGGTAATAATGTCAGGTATTACAGGTAAAATATTAGGACCAGGGTTGAGAATTACATTAGTGGAGGATTGGCCTTTGTCTGCAGCATTTCCATCAAATACTACTCTTAATGGGGTGGAGGAGCTTTCGGGTTTCGCTACCCCATGATGGGGTAGTTCAGTGTAAGGGGTACCATGATTTTCAAGTTCCTCGAGAGAGGTAGGGGCAAGGATGCCTTCTTTAACCCATCCTTCTATCTGTTCTTTATAAGCATCTGCTAGAGTCCCTCCTTTAGAAAGGAGTTTAATAACTGACTTGCTTCGCTGTGCACCTGTGGTGAGGTTTTTACAGCATTCTTTTGGGAATTGGTTGGTTTTGGGTAGAGGGGCTATGACCCTTCCATTAGGGCTGAGGAGTAGTTTGTTTAGGTATAAATCTAGTTCATCTTGGGCACTCAGTCCCTCTTCCTCCTTATCGCCAAAAATTTCAAATCGGTCTCTTACCAGTTGGTTGGTAATTTCTTGATTGAGCATTATGTCGCTCAAGTTTTCTTCTTGAACCTTAGCTGAGAAGGCTATCACTCTATGAGTTTTATATGGGGCTTCAACACTGAAGGCTCCCTTTGCAATTCCACCAAACATGGTATTTTGAATGCAAAAGAAATCTGATTCATAGTACCTATCAGTGTTAGATCCAGATACTGTAATCATGTCAAGGCCCCCCAGGATTATGTCCCACCAAATGGAGTCTGTATCAGTGATTCGAGGATCTGCAAGAAGTTTTCTTTCAGTGGGCGTATTTAACCAGGTAAGGACATCAGGATTAAGTCCTGACCAGGCCTTTTCAGCTGGCACAACTAGAGCTTGAGTTTTGAGTGGGACCCCATAACCACTTCGGTGTCCGAGGGTGAGAAGAACATATTGATCAGTCTNCTAGAGCCTGAGTTTTGAGTGGGACTCCATAACCACTTCGGTGTCCGAGGGTGAGAAGAACATATTGATCAGTCTCCAGAGCATCTCCTCCTTCATTAACCCCTTGAATGATGTAATTACAGTCAGCAGATTGGGTTTGTAACCTGAGTCGTCTGACACATTCTTCAGTGATTAATGTTACCTGAGCACCAGTATCAAGAAGGGCATATACCTTCTGATCAGATGGTACAATTCTTAGCTCAGCTGTTTCCAGGAAGGAGTTAGCAAAAGGGGTCCTGTACATATTCACTCTCACAGTTTTATGTCAATCTTTTTTAGGGGGAGCAGGAGTCTCTGTGGAAGGCCTTTTTTCCAAGATTTCGAGTTTAGCTTTAAGTTCGGCCAATTCCTTGTAAATGTCAGAGTGAACAGCTGGATCTGGTTCTGTAATATTGCCAGGATGTGGCTTGGAAGTCTTAGTAAAAATTCCCCCAGTTGCTGGGCAAAGAGTGGTGTGGTGTTTTCTGCTACAGGTGATGCATCGTTTACGATTTGGGCAATCTTTGACTTGGTGATTGTCTCTCAGGCAATTATAGCAAAGTTTCTTATCTTGCACAGTTTTATATTCCCCCAGTTGCTGGGCAAAGAGTGGTGTGGTGTTTTCTGCTACAGGTGATGCATCGTTTACGATTTGGGCAGTCTTTGACTTGGTGATTGTCTCTCAGACAATTATAGCAAAGTTTCTTATCTTGTACAGTTTTATTTTTAACTTCGAGAGGGACATCTTTGCAAAAGAGAGGAGAGTGTCCCAGACTGCAGAACACACATTTCCAATCATTTTTTGGAGGGGATCTTTGCATCTGAGGAGCAAACTTAGGGGTATATACAGGAGGATCAGGTTTGGAGGGGGGTTGGGAAGAGATGTTGGAGGTTTTTGGAGGGGTCACTTCCCTTTAGGGCAGTCTTTGACTTGGTGATTGTCTCTCAGACAATTATAGCAAAGTTTCTTTTCTTGCACAGTTATATTTTTAACTTCGAGAGGGACATCCTTGCAAAAGAGAGGAGAATGTCCCAGACTGCAGAACACACACTTCCAATCATTTTTGGAGGGGATCTTTGCATCTGAGGAGCAAACTTAGGGGTATATACGGTGGGGTCAGGTTTGGAGGGGGGTTGGGAAGAGATGTTGGAGATCTTTGGAGGGGTCACTTCCCTTTTGGGAGATTCAGAGCTTTTTCTTTTTTGTAACCTCAGCCCTGCCTTAAAAGAAGATACATGTTTAGGAGGATGAGGTTTGAGGTCTGCTAAGTCCAGAAACTGGAGTCTGAGCCACCAATATTTATTCTCTGGCTGGCGCTCCCAGGATAGTTTTTTGGTTAAGGGAGCCTGGGCAATTAAATTGTCAATCATCATATGGGGAGTCAGACTGGCTTGCACCAGGGACCACACCCATTTTTCTACTGCTTTTGGGTTACCCTCAAGTTCGATAAGTTTACCAATAATATTGGTGGCCCGGTCAGCATATTCAGCTGCACCAAACAATGACCCATCACTGGGGGCAAGAGTTTGGAGGGGGGTTGGGAAGAGATGTTGGAGGTTTTTGGAGGGGTCACTTCCCTTTCGGGAGATTCAGAGCTTTTTCTTTTTTGTAACCTCAGCCCTGCCTTAAAAGAAGATACATGTTTAGGAGGGTGAGGTTCACGGTCTGCTAAGTCCAGAAACTGGAGTCTAAGCCACCAGTATTTATTCTCTGGTTGACGCTCCCAGGATAGTTTTTCAGTTAAGGGAGCCTGGGCAATTAAATTGTCAATCATCATATGGGGGGTAAGGCTGGCTTGCACCAGGGGCCACACCCGTTTTTCTACAGCTTTTGGGTTGCCTTCCAGTTTGATAAGTTTACCAATAATATTGGTGGCCCGGTCAGCATATTCAGCTGCACCAAACAATGACCCATCACTGGGGGCAAGTTTCTCAAGTTCTCTATAAAGCCTACGGGTGGTAGAAGTAATGTTCCCATATTTGTTAAAGAGATATTTAATAAGACCAAGATAGTCTCTCTCAGTTTTCCTACCTTGGAACATGGAGGTGGCTGTACGGGCTTCCCCAGACAAATGCATCCTGAGAAGGTTAATTCTTTGTCCAGGGGATACTTGAGCAAGGGGGGCTTCATGTATTGCCCCAAAAGTTTCCCAAATACTGTCAAGACTTTCGTCTTGATCTCTATCCCCATCGAACCTGACAAAGGCAGGGGAATCGCTTTTCTTTTGATAGCGAAAAACTTGATCTTCAGGGGCTAGCAAGGGAGCACCCTTACCATAAGACTCAAGAACCTTTTCCAGAGCTGGATTTATAATAGGTGGTATCTCAGTGTTGCGGAGCAACATTTCTTCATGATAGGGATATTCAGGAAAGATTACTCCCTTAATTTCTTTGACATTGGGTCTCAAGTAATGTCTCCAGTTATCTCTTATATCAACCCAAGTAGCAAATTTAATGGAGCTCAATTGTTCAAGAAGTTTCTTTAGCCCCTCCTTGTCAGAATTGGACCAGGAGGCTGGATTAATTCTGGAAAGAAAATTAAAGATCTCAAACAAATCTGGACGGTATTTGTCAAGCTGACACTGGTTGTAATCATCATCAGTTATCTTTAAAACCCGGTCAATTTTAAGAATAATGTTGCTTAATAAGAGAAGTTTAGGAACTGGGTCTCCATCTTCAACCTGGGAAGGTTCGGTGGAGTCATTAGAATCAGTGTCTTCAGACACTGGTGTAGGAGGCCTGATGGGCGTCCTTTGAGGGCGTCCAGGTCTCCTTTTGGGTTTAGCAGTTACAATTGGCGCAGGTTGAGAGGAACCCGCAA